ATTCGTCTCCAACTCCTCCATTCGTTCCAAAGACTAAAGGCGTAAAAGTTCCCATTTCCACGTCTAAGATTCTCTGTTGGTACTTTCTTTTCTTCTCGGCTTCTTGTTCCTTAAAGATATCAGATGTGGCTTTGTTTTGATGACATTGGGAGTTTACATGCGATACACGGACGTCAAAAAATGATGTAACTCCTCTTGCCCAAAACTCGCCAGCTTTGATATCCAATCGCGCATCCGGGCTTCTGTTGGTGGACTGTAAACGGAATTGTTCATTGTCCAATGGCATGATTTTCGGTTCGGCTTCCACGTTGTTGCATACTCTGCTGAGCAGCGTGGTCAGTAAATCACGAACACCGTCATGCCTTCGGGCCACAAAACCTCCTCTTTTACACGATAATGCGTGGTTGACGGAAAATGCAGACCCACAAACGCAATGACTTGGCAAGTCAGGCAATGGCATGCCATACCGCATTCTTATCGAATCCTTAAATTCTTCTTTGTTGAGGGTCAAACCTTGTTCTTCAACCGGTATAGCATTTAACCATGAGCTTGCTCCTTTATCCCGCGCTTGTTTAACAAAAAGTAGGAGATCGGCTGGGAGAGACTCGTCGATACGTTCTCTTTTTGCATTGGCATTTGCCCTCTTGATTGACTGCTGTTCGTTTTTTATCTCGTTAGTGATCTCTGGCATGGAAGTGCATTGCGATAATATTGCCTCCACATGTGGACGTGTTATTGACGTCGATGCTGCGTACTGTTGTGGCGCTTCTTCACTTAATGCAGGTATCCCTAAACCTCCTTGTGGAGGGGACAGTGTGATAACTTCGTGCAATTCTTCTGGCAGAGGCTCTTCTTGGCCGAACAAGGCTGGGAAAAACAACTCACTTATGGCTTCCTCGATAGGGTTAATATAATCTTCAAAGGAGCTTATCGTTCGCATAAAATATGTAAACTTCGATTTGAAGCCCTTTGTGAAAGCAACATAGGCTGAATGAGGTTGACTTTTTGCAATATCACTTAGTGCTTCGATTTCTTCTCTCCATCTGTTGACCTTTTCGTTGCAGTACTCTTCTTTGTAATTTGTAGAACCAATAACTGCGCCCAGATGACGCCTTCCTTCAGTTGTTATTTTAACCTCGCTTCCAAACACCCGTTCTGCTTCTGACGCCAGAAGTTGTGATTTAACAATCAGCCAGCTCTTAGAACCGTTTACATGGTATCCATACTTCAAGCCTTCTTCACACAGATAACGATACCAACTATAAAGCGCTGCAATCGTTCCTCCCCCTGCTGAGTCATCAGCCAACCAAACTTGCTTGACGTCTGGTAACATTGGCTTTTATTGCAGAAACAAAATTTGCTTCCTGGAAAACAAAATATTTCCTACCAAATTAGAAACATTTGATGAAACACTCTTTCTCCGTTTGCCGACGCTGGTAAGACAATATAAAATACCGAAACATCAGTAAGATACTGAATAATATGATAAATATCTTTGCGCAACAATATTTCCCAGTTTGTCGCGGGCATAAAGGGATATTTATATAAACTCCTAGGAAAACCTCTGATTGAATCTTTAATGTATTATCAGGGGCGTCGGAGCGGCTCTAAAAGTGGGCGGGCACACTTCGCCCTAGCGCACACTTTGCCCTAGCGCACACTTAGTGACATTCATTCTGGGGGCATGCCCCCCGGAAAATTTTTGAAACTATAGAGTCTCTGAAATGCCATTTCCTGCACTTCAGAAGGCGATTTACAGAGTTCTAAAGGTAACAAAATGTCGTAAAATATCTCAAATTGTTTTGTCCACACGCGTAACTGAAATAATATCAATTAACTTTGTGGTTTATTATTGACCATTGTTAAAAAGTGGGAGGGGGGCAAAGACATTTCGGCCCCCCAAACTAAAAAAGTGGGGAGCGCGGGGCTCCCCTTGGCTTCCGACACCCCTGTGTATTACCAGGCTACTGGCTATGCAAGATATGTTTGGCGCTTCTTCCATCCATCGCTTAAGTATATTCTATGGATACCAATCTTGGATTTGGACCAACTTTTCCATTCGTTCCCATCATCTTTTCCAACCATCTGTTCCAACCGACGAAGCCGGACTGCACCAATGAAGGACCTTTAACTGTGAAAGAAACATGTCCCAGGCATCAACTCGAAATTCATCATAAAAAAAAAGATAAATTGGGAGGAAATATAAAATCCATAATTTCATTATAACTATCTATAATTGAAAGACATGTTTTTCATTCTTAATGAGCCCAGATTTTCATACCGGCCTACACTCAAAACGAGATTGCATGTATTCTACAATAAGCTGTTCTGGCTTTTGTCTGGTAAAGTTCTACTTCTCGTATTTTAACTATTACATATATTATATTGTGACATAGGTTGGTATTTAGCCACTATCTAGAATAACGAGGAACGATTCAACCTGGTTTTTCGTGCCCACACTTGTTGACTTTTTCTTATAGATTTGCTGCTGCGGCGCCAGGATGCGTTTCAGCTCCTCCACCTGGGTGCGTTTCAGCTTCTCAACCAAATATTGATCTGCTGCACTGCGCAGATAATACCTAAGTGCATTACCATCATTGTTCTTCAAATATGCCATCAAATCCAGTGTCATCGCCATCAAGTTCGAATAATAGGCCATCATCATCTGAAAAATCGTTCTCGTCTGTATTCTGGTCGGGAGAATTTGTGCAATCGCAACCGGAACAAAGACCAGTACACTTCTATTCTCGGCTTTTTAACAGGCACAACGTCTTGGTGAATATCCAGACTTACAACCATAGTAACGTTTTCCAAATTTCCATCAGGAGTTGCCGGCTTCCATCTGATATTGACTTGCCTTTCGTTTACTTCCCAACCAAACTCGCTGATTGAACACCATGCCATGCACGAATGACGTTCTTTTACTTCATACAAATCGTACATCATATCAATATGCCGCATATGGAAAGGTGGATGAAAACATGTCTTTCAATTATAGATAGTTATGATGAAATTATGGATTTTATATTCCCTCCCAATTTATCTTTTTTTTTATGATGAATTTCGAGTTGGAGCTTGGGACATGTTTCTTTCACAGTTAAAGGTCCTTCACTGGTCCGGCTTCGTCGGTTGGAACAGATGGTTAGAAAAGATGGTTGGAACGAATGGAAAAGTTTAAGATTGGTATCTATAGAATATAGATAATATCTATAGATAATACATTAAAATAAAAATTCAATCAGAGGTTTTCCTAGGAATTTATATAAATATCCCGTTATTGCCCGGGACAAACCGGGAAACATTGTTGCGCAAAGTCAAAGATATTTGTCATATTATTTGTCTTACCAATGTTTCGGTATGTCGTATTGTCTTACCAGGGTCGGCAAACGGTGAGAGTGTTTCATCAAATGTTTCTGAATTTGGTAGGAAATATAGTTATTATTTTTTCTTTCCGGGAAGCAAATTTTGTTTCTGCAATAAAATGTTTCCAGATGTGGGAGACAAGGAACCACATGGGCCTAATCTTGTTTTTTTTTTGGGGGGGGGAGGGGCACAGTATTAGTGTGCCCGACCGCTTTGCTTACACAGTACACATATACAACTTTGTTCGAGATTTTATCAGGGCCTTTTTTAAGGATTTTCTCGTGTGGGGAGGGGAGCATTTTTTGCAAAGGGACCTTTCTGTGAGATAATATATTAGTGGGGGATAGCCATGTGGCCGACATACCACGCATGAATCCCTAGGGGGGTCTGGGGGCATAGTCCCCCAGAAAATGAAATTTGATGCCCGGAAATGCAATTTCCTGCATTTTGAGCATCCAAATTTGTTCTAACATTTATGCTAACTATATAACTAACTTCATAATCTTTGCCATAAACCATCATCATTCATATACAGCCAGGTGTTCTTTTTAAATGGCAAGGTATATTAAAAGCAATTAATATTGGCATTATTATATTTAATTATTCATTGTAGACCGCGGTTATTCTTATCAACTTTGCCAGACCATAATTTTTTTTTTTTTTGGGGGGGGGGCAAGTGCCCCCCGTGCCACCCCCTCCCCCCCGGCCGATACGCCTATGGGGAACCATTTGAGCAAACGTTGAAAATCGCGAATACTTCCGCAACAATGTTTCTTGCATTTGGCCAAGGCTTTAGTTTAGCGAAATAGTTCATTTGTTCCTTGATCGTGTGAATTTTATGTATATTTAAATATTCTCCATCCTGTTTGATACACAAATTTGTATTGAATTAAGATGTTAATAAGTAGAATTAAACGGTATTTTGAAACAATAGCCAATGAATTGAAGTGAAATTTGCTGTGATGGTGTAATGTACTCAGGTGAATAAGATGCTTGTGTGATGTTACTCTGAGTGTATATCCACACCCGGCAGGCTTGAAAAATATGCCTGGCCACGGTGGGATTCGAACATACGACCTTTGGAATACTAGCCCAATGCCCGCTAGCGTCTGCGCAGTGCGAGTTTGGCTGACTTGCGCATGCGTATTTGCTACCAAAACAATGGCGGTTCGAATATTTCGAAGCGGGAAAATAGCGAACTTTATAAGGATTATTTTCGCAATTGTGCACCTGTTTCGCTTGGGGAGCAACGGATTCTGATAAAGTAAGTTTTTACCTATTGATTCATGTGAAAATTATGTAGTTCCACGAGGGGTGCAACGGAATCCGTTTTCTAAGCATCTTTTGGATGCTCATCCTACGGCCTACAGGGGTCGATCCTGTGGCCGTTGTTATTTTTGCTCTACATCAATGACCTACCACAATGTTTCCAAAAAACCACGCCGGGTATGTATGCTGATGACACGGAAATTTACGCGTCATCACACCATGTAAATTATCTTATTGACAACATAAATTATGACCTAAATATTGTTACGCAATGGATGGAGAATAATAAGCTACAAATTCATCCTAAGAAATCTAAATGTATGTTTATTGCATCCCCTTATAAAATTAAGAATATACCTCAAGGAATACCGATATTAATTAACAATGTTCCTGTCCCAAGAGTAAATTGCTATAAATGCCTCGGTGTCACTTCAGACGAAAAATTAAACTGGGAACACCATATTGATATGAAATTCTTACGAACAGTTTACAACGCCTTAATACAGCCCTATATTTTGACTACTGCTGTCAATTGTGGGATACCTGTGGAATCGTCTTAAAGGAAAAACTACAAAAATTTCAATCCCGAGCTGCTAGAGTAATAAGAGGAGTATCTTATGATATTAGGTCGGCCGATGTTCTTGCAACTTTGTCTTTGGGGTGGCAAACTCTTGACAATAAACGAAAATACTTGAAATCCATTTTTATTTACAAAATCTTAAATAATGAAACTGCTCCAAACATGAAAGAAATTTTTTTGAAAATAAGTGATTGTCCAATTATACACCAATTACGAAATTCTCAAACAGATCTGGTCCTTCCATTCCCAAAATCAGAATTTAAGAAAAAGACCTTCAGTTATACGGGGTGTCTAAAAAAAAACGCTACGGAAATTTAACAGACTGTTGTGCATCACAAACTTAACTATAAACAGTTTAATTTTTACATAGGACGAAAGAGCTATTATTTAGCTTTTCTATGATACCTTTCTTAAACCGTAACGATGAGAAATGGCCACATACTCGTCAAATAAAAATTGTCGGTCGAAATCACATTCTTCCACCGTTGGGAATTGAAAGCAACGCAAGCCTTCTGCAAGGTACTTGTTTCGTAAAACGTTTTGATTACGAATGTTCTCCGTTCAGTGGTTAATGGAACCATGTTTAATGCAATAATGGACGTTCTTATGGTCTCACTGAGACAAATATGGACGAGTTGAGCTTATTTTAGATAATTTAACATTCAATTTTAATTCCCTCTTGGGAATTGTTTATTGTTCGTTTTCCTTGCAACTCCCAACGGTGGAAGAATGTGATTTCGACCGGCAATTTTTATTTGGCGAGTATGTGGCCATTTCTCCTCGTTACGATTTAAAAAGAGTATCATTGAAAAGCTAAATAACTGTTCTTTCGTCTTATGTAAAAATTGAATTGTTTAGCCACGTTTATGATGCACGACAGCCTGTTGAATTTCCGTAGCGTTTTTTTTGAGACACCCTGTAGTGGAGCAACTCTTTGGAATAACTTATCAATTACTGCAAAACAATCCAATTCTATGAGTTGTTTCAAAAAACTAATGAATTAAGCTACAATTTCGAAATTAAACAATAATTATAAAATAGTTTGTATGTTTAATATTTTTGTTTGCTAATTGTCTGAAGAATAATTATGTAAATAGTTTGTATGCTGTAATGTATTAGTCTTAATTTTATACGTCCCCTATGGCTATGGAAATCATCGAAAGATGTTAGGGCTAACGTGTTTAAATAAATTTTTATGTATATGTACGTATGTAAGCAACTTTCAACGTATCAAATGTATTCGTCATAGAAAAATGCCGCTTTATATACAGCTGGCGTATTATTTGCACCAGTCATTTGCAGGAAAATTGAGAAAATCATTACGTGAATAACTGCAATTAATATATTATTACATTTCGACAAAATGTGTAAAAACTGCAGGCTGATTTACCAAAATTTTCATATCCTCGTCACTTATACTCCAGTCAAATACTTGAGAATTTTCAATGATATGTTTCTCGTTTGAAGATTGTGGAATAGTACTGAAACCAGATTGTATACACCAACGGATAAATAACTGCGCTACTGTCTTTTTGTACCTTGGGTTAAAAAGTTTATAGTTAAATAAAATATACTGAAATGATACAGTTTACACTGATGAAGTACAGCTAATGCAATTACAGTGGTCTACTGAAGGGTAAAATTTACAACTGCAAAATCCATCTTTCACCTCACGAAAATATTTTCCCCATTTAACTCAGTGCCTTTTTTAAGGAATTTTCACTGGGGGGGGGGGGGGACAGGAAAAAAGGCAGAACGAAAAATATGAGCCGTCGAGGTTTGGCGAACGCGCGAGTCTGAAGAGAGATTTTGTAAAACTTTAATTTATTAACTTCAGCTATATTTTACTTTAAACAATAACTTCAACTCTTTGTAGCTATAATCGTACAGCTATAACCAGTGGCGTAGCCAAACCTTAATTTTGCGGGGGCGAACCTGTGAGACCGTCTAGGAGGGTCCGGGGTCCGGAAAATTATGAAATCTAGGGTCCCTGAATTGCGATTTCATGCATTTTGGGGGTGAAATCTAGCAGAATTCCGAACATTATAAAGTACATCGAAGACAAGAATATTTCCAGACATTTCTACTCGGAATTAAATAAATTGGAAAAGTCACCTTGAAAAATAGGAGTAGGGGTCAGTGTCACCTTATTTCCTCTCTGTGATGCAGGGGGGGGGATCCCAATGTGATTTTGATCAGAAATGTTGCATTTAAATTATTTTGGGTTCTATGAGACACCATTCCCGCATTCTAAAAATTGTGTTGCTTTTTCATACGATACAGAAATAAGTCTGAGAAGAAATATTCATGCTATGATGATGCATACATGTATTTAACAGTTAAAAATCTAAACTAAATCTATTCTTCTTGGAACCATATCTACAACTGCTTTAACGAGATTTCACAAATCAAGTTCCTCCAGTATATCGTCTTTTTCCTCAGTCGAGACGTACTTAATCAGTTTCAGCTTCGAGCATGTAACATGTATCCCTCCCTCCCCCCAATTTCTTCACGGATTTAGCCTTTCTGAGAGAATGGTTTTGTGGCGATTGGGGGTGGGGGAGGCTCTTAATATAACTTGATATTTTTAAGAAAAGGTTTTGCAATGAAACCTCCCAAAACAAAACACAACGCCTCTGTGGAGGAAAGTGCTAAATAGTCGCAAGGCTTGGAAAGGCTAGCATTTTATTGGATTGTTTGCATGAAATCTATCGCTATTATGAAATACTCGGTGAAGAACAATATGAATTACACACAAAATGGCTGTGGAGGAGGCTGTGAAGGAGGCTATGGAAGGGCATAATCTCATTATCAAGTAAATCAACTGCAATTCTGACAGCAATCATGAGCAATTCTGCTTCGCACTTCGGGGGCAGAAATGGCTGTACTGGGGGGGAAGCAAATTGTTTCCCTGGGGGGGGATATAGTTAACAAAGGCACTGTCAGGAACCAACATACTGAACATTGCATTTTTTGCAGGAAATTAAATAAACTATGTTAGTGGTACCACAATTAATTTCTTGTTTGATTTTGTATGACCGACCGGTACTAAAACTCCTAAACAGTCAGTCTCCTTCAAGAAATTATTACACAAATCACATTTTCGCTTACACTTGAAACAACCTGGCTTCTGATTTTCCGCCAACACATGCTGCTTATCAAACTTAGATGGTGCTAAAATGTCCTTAAGGTTTTTTTGCCTTCTGTAAGCAGTTATTATAGACTAGTTCGGAAAAATTTCTTTCCACTCAGGTGTGGAGATCAAGTGCATATGCTTACTTATAATTTGTGAGATGTTAGGAGCCCTAGGATTAAATTCTGTCACAAAGGGATAAACCTTCTTTTTAGGTTTAACTTTAGCATGCAACAAATCTTTCCTATCCACCTTTAAAGCTTTATTAAATTCCTTATCAACTAATGATATTTGGGATTCGCTATATATATGTAGCGGTTTTTGAGTTGTTTTCAGACGAGTGTATACCAAACCGGGCCAGCAGAAAATTCTACTTGACCGCGGCTGGGATTCGAACCCGCGACCTTCGCATTTCCAGAACGATGCTCTACCTTCTGAGCTACAAGGTCAAGCTGAGAACGACATGTTAAGTTATGATGTTATGAGATATATATATATATATATATATATATATATATATATATATATATATATATATATATATATATATATAT